AAGGGGTCCCGTACGTTTGGGCGTGCGGGTTCAGGAGTTTGGCCCGTCCTGAACGCCAGCCACCCTATTTATATATATCTATATATGCTTATATATAGTATATATATATATGTATATATATATATATATATCGTCAAATAGAACTGGCCGGTATATATATATATATATATATATATATATATATTTGTGACGATATATATATGCAAGGTTGCTGGCGTCTGGGACGGGCCGAACGCCCGAACGTACGGGACCCCTTCCGAAGGCGTTCGGCCGTTCGAGCCGAACGTGGACCAAAAAAAAAAAAAAAAAAAAAAAAAACGAGGTTTTCAAAAAATTCCGAAAAAACAAATGTTATTGAGAAAAATAAAGTAAACAACATTTACCTGGGCACTACATATAAATTCTTTTCCAAATTTGAATTAAAAATCAAATTCAGAAAATAAACACTATGATAAGAATAAGAAAAAATAAAAAAGAGAATTAAAATGAGTAAGACTCGGTGTGCTAGCACCTTTTCGACACCGCCATCTTTGCCGATTTTTAATTATTGTTTGGCATTGACAAATGCCCTGAAAATTTACAGGTATATAGTTTACATAATTAGTAACTCATTAAAAATGTTTTAAAAAAAATAAAATATTTAAGGTCCCGAAATAAAGTGAAAAAACACAAAATAGTGAGTGGGCAAGCACATTTTTACACCCTCATCTTTGACAATTTTTAATTGTTTTTTGGATTAGTAGAATGGCTTCAAAATGTATAGGCGTGTTGGTTACATCATAGATAACTCAAAAAAAAAATTCAGAAAACAAAACGTATTTTTAGGCCCCGAAATGGTTTTTGGCGTGGGCCGAACCTGGAGGTGTTCGGCCCCCGAACGGGACCCCGAACGCCCGAACGTTCGGGGGCCAGCCCGGGGGCCCCCGAACGTTCGGTCAGGTAACCCTGTATATATGTTTATATATATATACATATATATGTATGTATATATAGGGTCACCAGCCCGTACGTACAGAGGTCCCCCGGACGACCTCCATACGTACGGGCGTTCGGCCCCTGCCAAACAATATTTTAGGGCCTAAAAATAAGTTTTATTTTATGAATTTGTTTTGCGAGTTCTCTATGATGTTAGGTTCATGCCTATGAACTTCGACGTCATTTGGCTAAGTCAAACAAAAATAAAAAATTGCCAAAGATGGCGGTGTCAAAACGTGCTCGCCCACTTACTATTTTGTTTTTTTCAATTTTTACTTTTTGTTTTCACTTTATTGCGGGGCCTAAACACTTTTATTATTTTTTGAAACTGTTTTGATGGGTTTTGTATTATGTGAGGTACACATCTGTAAATTTTCAGGTCATTTTGATCTGCCAAAAAAAAATGAAAAATTGCCAAAGATGGCGGTGTCGAAAACGTGCTTGCTCACGAACTAATTTTATTTCTTTTTTTATTTTATCTTATTTTTATTATCAGTTCTATTTTTTGTATTTAGTTTTTATTTCACAATTGGTAAGGAATTTGGATGTAATGCTCAGGCAAGTGTTCTTTATTTTAAATTTCTCCATAACATATCTTTTTTTCAGATTGTTTTGAATAGTTTTTTTTTTGTTTTTGTTTTTTTTGGTCCGTGTTAGGCCCGAACGGCCGAGCGCATCCCCAAGGGGTTCCGTACGTTCGGGCGTTCGGGTTCGTGCATTCGGCCCGTCCCGAACGCCGGTGACCCTGTATATATATATACAGGGTGGCCGTCGTTCGGGACGGGCCGAACGCCCGAACGTACGGGACCCCTTTGGGATGGGTTCGGTCGTTC